CTAAAAATTAGCATTAATTAAAATTTTCAGATCTATGTGAATTGAATGTTGAAGTCATTACTATGATTTTTAAATTGATACACCGCCTTTGTATATTTTTCAGTGCACATGTTCTTTCTGTAGCTCCACTTTTACGTTGTATATTTATACATTCAGAAGATTAATTTTCAGATGGAAGAATCAAAAATATGCAAAAAAAAAATTTCTTAATTTCGTACACTACATAACTATTAACGAATTTTTTTCTAACAGTAATCCAATAACGATTTGCTGTACTCGTGCAATACAGTAATCAATATTTTTTTAAGTCCCAAATTCCATACGTTTTGTCAAATGTTAATTGTTATCATCATTATTATTATTATCATTATTATTCCTATATCGTTACCATGTTCACAAAAATATGCTGTGATATCATATATGAATTAGGACAGGTTATGTTCATTTTTTTTGTACAATCAAAAAAACCATACTTTTCTTTCGTCATGTAAAAATAAAAATACAGTCCTCTCTCGTAAGAACATTTGGCGTTGTACTTTTTTTCTTTCCCCCATTTTTTACATAACATTTTTTGGTCCATACGAGCCGGATCGTTCTCTGTTTATTTCATACGTATCATACATTAAATTGAGTGTGTTTGCGTCGATAAATTTTGTTCGCGAAGTGTTGATTAAATTTTATTCGCAACTAAGTTATTAAATTACTTAGTCGTAAACACGTGCATACGGCATTACCACATCATGGAGCAACTACGTCGCGTTTTACTTAACAAAACAAAATTAATAGAGAAGAAGTTCAAGCGTAATACATTCGAAGTGCTGAATACATAGAACGCCGACGAAATCGTCACACATTTTGAACTATTAGATAGTGCGTTTAATACATATGCTAAGGCGTAYGATGAATTATTTCAAATAATTGAAGATGATAGTGAATTAGACAGTCTCATAGAACAGTTTTAGAACGTGTCAATCACATACATGAGAGCAAAATCAAATTTAAAAAGTATGGTGGCTGACAAGAATGTTACTGATGTCCATGGGGTGGACAGACACATCAAATYACCCCCAATAAATCTACCACAGTTCAGTGGAAAGTTTGAGRAATGGTTTAGTTTTACCAGTTTAAAGCYATCGTACATAATAATGCAAGCATTGAAAACACACAAATGTGCATTATTTAAAGAGTAGCTTAACGGGGCAAGGAGCTTCGGTCATATCATCAATGTCATCTGACGCTCGTAGTTATACAGAAGCGTGGAATTTAATTAAAGGTTGGTTTGACTATAAACATTTGGTGTTTCAAACACATTTACATTGCTTGTTTACACAACCAGTAGTACAGACTTAAGCACCGAATATGTTAAAAACGTTAATCGACACAACTAACAATCATGTAAGAGTATTGAAGACATTAGGTCGCCCTGTTGAACATTGGGATGATGTATTAGTGTATATAGTATCGACTAAACTGCCGCCTGACATACATACGACTTGGGAAATTGAGTCTGCAGCACAAGTAGATTTCCCAAAGTGTAGTACATTATGTTTATTCATTGAAGGTCGCATACATGCACTGGAGGTCATGCAGTTTAGACAAGGATCCAGTGGTAGATTCAAACAGCCATATATTAAGACTGCTGCACACACAGTGGTGGCACAAAAAGTAGGGAAAATCAAATGTCAGATTTGTGCACAACCCCACAGCATTTATCAGTGTGAAACGTTTATGAAGGCTATAAAAGCACAAATATGTTGGAACTGTCTTCGTGTAGGACATACGCGCTCAGTGTGTCCTATGGATAAAGTTTGCAAAATCTGTGGTTACAAACATCATACATTATTACACAATGTAACAGCTAAACAACAGGTGTCTGAAGATACTGGATCTACATCAAAACCCACTTTTAATACTGAAACAGTGAGTGCAACARTAATTACAGATACCAATGAAGCAATCGTTGCACATGGGATGCCGCGTTCTCCAGCATTGTCATCAGTACTTCTCTCCACTGCACTCGCGAGAGTACACGGGTCCAATGGTAGGACAAAACTGTGCAGAGCGTTGCTGGATTCAGCATCGCAGTCCCACTTCATATCAAACAGTTTGGTGACGAGGCTAGGACTACGACGGGTCCACTGCCTTGTAACCGTTAWAGGTATTTCAGACGCGTCAACTAAGATGTCTGAAATTAGATCTCTGTTTGTGTCGTCTCGCACATCAGATACAAGCAATACGTTAAACGCCATCGTCATGCCACGGGTCACCGTGGACTTACCCATTAAGAAATGCAGCGTTAGTGCATGGACTCACTTTAAAGATGTCTCTTTAGCAGATTCAAACTTCCACATACCCGGACGTATTGATCTATTATTAGGAGCCGAAGTGTTCATGGATAGCATACAAAATGGTAAGATCAGTGGACCTGCTAATATACCCACGTTGCAGAACTCGAAATTTGGCTGGATTGTCTATGGCACCAGTGAAATTCAATCAAATYAACAAATTCAAGTACCGAGTACAGCCAGTTTTGTGGTCACAAGTTGTGCCATCGCATCATTGGACAGAACGTTGAGACAATTTTGGGAACTGGAGGAGGTGCCACGAGTATCGACAATGTAGGCTGAAGACAAAATGTGTGAAGACCACTATCAGAACACATACAAGGGACGATAATGGACGGTATATACTACAGTTGCCATTTAAAAAACAYGTACCTCACGATAATAACTCCTACCTTAATGCACTTCGACGTTTACACCAAGTCGAGTCTTTTCTGTCCAAACACCTAGATATCAGTGTTCAGTACAAGAAATTTATACAAGAATATATAGAGTCAAATCACRTGGAAAGGGTACTACCGAACGATGAACATCAACCAGTAATTTACATACCTCATCACCACATCTGTCGGCCAACCAGTACCACTACCAAACTCCGAGTAGTTTTTGATGGGTCAAGTATTATGTATAATGGTCTGACACTGAATGGCTATCTTTTTTTTTTCTTTTTTTTATCTTTTTTTTTATTTTTTTTTATTTTTTTGGCTATCTTATTTTTTCTATCTTTTGGCTATCTTTTCAAAGGACCCAAATTACAAAAAGATATTGTTAGTGTTCTAATAAACTTTCGGTTTTTTAGGTATGTCTTCAGTGCTGACATAAAGCAGATGTTCCAACGGATGCTCATACATCAAAYACATCGTCCATACCAGTGCATACTCTGGCGTGATCATCCAACTGACCCAGGCACATCATATCATTTAAATACGGTTAAATATGGCTTGGTAACGTCGCCGTAAAAGCAATTCGCACGCTGAGACAACTATCCGAGGATGAGGCGGCCGACTATCCCGTCACGTCCAACGTATTGAAACGCGATTTTTATGTTGACGAGGTGATGACCGGCATGGATTAAACTGTTGAATTATTATGTCTACAACGTGAGCTGAATGGTTTGCTGGAACGTGGTGGGTTCAAGCTACGGAAATGGGCAAGTAACTGTCCAGCCATTCTAGAAAATGTACCGTTGGAATATCGCGTCACACAGCTCCCACTACATGATCAATCAGACTCAGCCATCAAATTATTGGATGTTTCGTGGAATGCCACTAAAGACTCATTTTCTATACAAGCTCGTACGAAATAAGTGGATCTGTCACTAAACGACAGATATTATCAGATATCGCACACATTTATGACCCTTGCGGTTGGCTCTCACCCTCGATCATCGTAAGCTGCTGTTGCAACAACTGTGGAAGGAACAGGTTAGCTGGGACGACCCGGTCTCAGAGGCGCTTGCTGTGGCTTGGCACTCACATCGTTCAACGTATGAGCATTTAGCATCTTTCAATATATTGCGCTACATTAACACCTCGAGGGATCCAGTCATCGCATATGAAATACATGGCTTTTGTGACAGCTCTGAAAAAGCTTATGGTGCCGTTGTCTATGTTGYCGCCAAGTCAGATATTCTAACTTCAACCCTACTGGTTTCTAAAACTAGAGTAGCACCACTGAAGAAGGTTTCCATTCCCCGTTTGGAATTGTGTAGTGCTGTGCTTTTGGCTCAACTCATACAAKGTCTTGTTCCATCACTAAATATCAAGGTTGAACGTATACATTTGTGGAGTGATTCGAATGTAGCCCTTCACTGGATTGCGGGAGAACCTTATCGCTGGACTACGTTTGTGGCCAACAGGGTGACCCAAATTCAAAAAATGGTACCAACAGCCACCTGGCGACATGTAGCCTCTTGAGACAATCCAGCGGATGTGGCATCTYGTTGTMTTACCGGCGCAGAACTGATAACCTGTGATCTTTGGTGGCAAGGGCCTGTCTGGCTGATTGATGAAACTAGTTAGCCTCATTCAACATTACCAACTCTTGCATCCTTACCTGAAGAACGAGACGTGACTACACAAGTGGCATTACCTACTATATTAGTAAATGATCTGCTGCTGCATCATTCTAATCTAGAACGGTCATTAAGGGTGACATCTTATGTGTTCCGTTTTATCAGAAACTGCCGTATACTTAAATTTCTTCGGAAGAAAAGGAGTCCTCTCGTCACTATTGCTGAACGTAAACACGCACTTTGTTTTTGGATAAAACATGTCCAACGCGCTGAATTTCCTGCTGAGTATGGCTGTCTACGCTGAAAGGTCCCCATTAATAAGTCCAGCCCGCTTAGTAGCTTAAACCCATTCATGGACAGCAGAAACGTGATAAGAGTCGGCGATCGACTAGATCACTCTGCTCTTTCTTATGAGCAAAAGCATCGGATGATTTTACCCTAGACTCATCATCTCACCGAGTTGATCATACGCCAAACGCACATTCAAAACTYACACTCCAGCCTAAATGTCACTATATCCATCTTATATCACCCATCACTTCGGAGGGTTATGGGAGGCCAACATCAAGTCATGTAAATATATTTTAAAGCGAATTAATGGTGATCAAGTGTACACCCAAGAAGAATGTGGTTGTTCACACAAATCGAAGCTATCATGAAGTGCACTATTTGCTGACTGCCACTACTGCAACGTAACACCTGGACATTTTTTGATTGGACGGCTTCTAATCGCTCTGCCCAGCAAAGATTACTCCACCGCTCCATCCAACAGGCTGACAAGATGGAATCTTCTACAACAACAGCAACAGCGTTTCTGGAAGTTGTGGTCGTCAGACTATCTGCTAACGCTGCAGCACCGCCAGAAATTAAGAACACCTAACGTGCAATTTCATGTTGGGGATMTTGTCGTCATTAAAGTTGAGAATACACCACCCAACCAATGGCCTTTAGCAAGAATCACAGCAGTACACCCAAGTGCGCGCAATCATTTGGTGCGTGTCGTTACAGTCAAGACTCAAAACTCTTCCTACACCAGACCTATTACAAAACTCATAAGGCTACCACGACCGCAAGAGACTGAATGAGAATCTCCTAAGGTCATTAATATTATAATTATTATTTTTGTATATAACTATGAATTTGTCATTTTTTTTTTTCAATTTTTCCTTATTATGCGTTTTTTTGTATTCTTTTTTTTTTGAGGCTGTCACTCAAGGCGGGCGGTGTTTTGTCAAATGTTAATTGTTATCATCATTATTATTTCTATATTGATACCATGTTCACAAACATATGCTGTGATATCATATATGAATTAGGACAGGTTATGTTTTTTTTTTTTACTTTTCTTTCGTCGTGTAAAAAAAAAATACAGTCCTCTCTCGTAAGAACATTCGGCGTTGTACTTCTTTTCTTTTCTCTCTTTTTTACATAACACCATATTAATTTTTATTATAATATTTTGAACACGAATYTGTTGTATTTACWTATTGTATTGTTCTAATTTAAATTAACGTGATTTCAGAACTATATGCAACGTATGATGTCGYCTGTGTATGACAAATTCCATGACATGGAGGTTGAACTTGACGGTTTTGAAGAAATACAATTTAAAAATCTCGTGACTTCGCATGCCTGTTATTACGAAMTAAAGGACTGTACCGAACAAGCTCTGAATTTGTTTAGAAAATGGATGAAAATTACGGATCCAGATAATAATAATACGTGAGTTAAATCAATGTTTAATTTATTGAACTAATTACAAACTGTAATTCAAATTAGATTGCCCAGAGAACTGAAATCAGTTATTTACTGTCAAGCGATGAAATAYGGAGGTGAAGACGAATGRAACTTTTTATGGGAACGTTATCAGCGTTCCAATTTGAAGCCTGAAAAATCTAAAATAYTGTTAGGATTAGGATGTAGTTCAGAAACATGGTTACTAAACAGGTATTAATATCATTTTAGCGTCATATGGACAGCACAGTGAAACATTATTTTTGTGTTAGATATTTGAATTGGTCACTTGATAATTCAACTATTMGCRAGSAAGACGCTGMCACAGTGTTCAATGCCATAGCGAGCAATGACATTGGATTTTCTATGGCAAAAGACTTTGTGTATCATAATATTTCAACTATATATGAATAGTAAGTTATCGTTAAAAGTTTAGTAATACAATAATATTAAGTTGAAAGTTTGTAATTATTATTTTGATTTGTAAAATTTTAGCTACCAGCCTTCAGGCGATGGTGTGGGTAGATACATAACCATTATAGGGTTTAAAATGAAAACTAAAGAAGAATTAGATGAGGTGATAAAAATAACTAGTTTTATTTTTAAAAATCAAAAGTTTCATTGATATGTTTTTTGTTTGTTACAGATCCAATCATTTATTAATAAATCGGCACGTTATTTAAAAGGAGCTGATTTGGCTATCAACCAGACAATAGAGGCTATTAAGATGAAAATTGAATGGACTTCAAAGTATTATGATAAAATTGTAAATTACATAGTACAATAATTATTAACAATGTTACGAACGGACTTAAATACAGACGCTTCGATTAAAATTGTTACACAATATAATATCCATAAACAAGGTTAATAGAAATAATAAATATTAAACATTTTTAGCTAAGTATATATTGTTTCTTCATAATATGACGTAGTTACCTACTACTTTTTCCTGAGTTGTATCACAAGCTGAAAGTTTCAGATCAAAATAATTTATTTATATCTGAAGTAAACTAAACTCATCATATTTAAACGTCATCAAATATATTCATTTATTTTTCACAAGTAACATAATTCTATGTWCATATTACTATGAAGTTTTTTTTATCTTTTTTTGGAGTATAATAAATAATAACAAGATTTAAAATATGTTTCTTTTGAAAAAWAATMGGTGAGAAGATTAATAATTCTCTTACAACCAACTCAGGTTCTATTTTATGTATTTTTTTGACGACTGTCACACATATACTGAAAAATCAATGGCAATCCTTCAGAAAACATATTACACAGCCTACGTGACACAATWATGTTCAGTATCGATAGTAAACTCACSTWAGCGTGTCAAGTATCATCGTAAATAGCACAAACTTTCCCAAAAGTGGCACAACTARTGACGTGGGTGRAATAAATTCGGCTAGCAGCAGAAAGAACACAGTCAGCGATAGAAGAATTGAAATACTTAAACTAAYCTAAAATGTATTTCATAATATTATTATTTACATGTAACAAGTGTGTTGTGCAGGTTTAACTTAAACATACCTATATATTTTCAATAGTCAATTACTTTTTCGTTACTATCCGATGGTARGTAAAACACAAGTATCGTGATCAAATTCACCGTATAAAATAGCGTTTTCCTCCGCATYGTAATATTGAATGTAATGTCTAAGTAAGGTTCTTCGCAGCAAGTATAATATTTCTCATYTCTGTAATATGAAAATATATAATTAATCTGATTGTAATCAACGAAAAGAGCATTATCTTGTAAAAAAATACACCTAAATTCTGCGATCAAAACGTTACATTGAGCCTACAATCACTTCATTTATAGAATCTATGTTGAGTGTAAATTAAATAATTAATTAATAACTATGCGATGGTTTCAAAAGATTCAATAAGTTTAATGCATATGTATAATGGTACAATCTACATAATATATGTGTGTGGTAGGTAATAGTGATATAAACGGGATACGCATCATAACATAAAAAACACTGCTTAAAACTTCAAAAGTTAACACGGACCAAACTCATGAGAGGGTTATCAAGTACTATTACCTATTATTATTATTTATCAATTATTTATTGTACAAATTATTTTATGATCCAAATACTTAGAAATTGCTTATTTCCATTAATTCAGGTATGAGATTTCTTTGATATAGTTATTTACGTTCTACAATTCTACATATTTGGTGTTGAATCGCTGTTTTTCATTTCATTTTCATGATCAAATTTTACATAGTATGACTATTGAAAAGTTAGGATTTTTTTTCCTGTTGATAAATTTATTTTAAACACAATGTGAGAATATAGAGTTTTTAAAGGCTCTATATACCACCCACAATGTAAGGGGAACACTTACATTGTGACCTGCAGGCCGCACCACGTGTTGACACGAAGGCCAATTCGGTGGAACTTGCAGGTTTTTATACTCGCAGTGGGAAATGAATCCCAAAGATTTATTTAAAAAGGGGAAAAAGTAAAAATAATATTAATAAAAAAAAATGTGACAGAATATAAGGTAATCATATACTTATAGTTATATTTTACACAGTTATAAGTAAATGTTGTGTTTCAAACAACATTAATAAAATAATATAACATTAGACACATGGCAATTGCAATTCAGAAAATATATAATAATTTAGCACATGGCAAAGTGCATAAAATACAGGGAAAAATATATAATAATTTAGCACATGGCAAAGTGCATAAAATACAGGGAAAAATATATAATAATTTAGCACATGGCAAAGTTATAAGGAAAGTAATGGAGAAAAATACAAGATATAATGCTACGGCTCCGACAAGCGGTTACTGGTACGGAATGATAATCATACGTCGATATGACACATTATACTCTTATATGTATTAAAGGAAAATACCCACGGCTCTTCATGACGGTTACCGGGGCACCTATTAGGAAAAATGGAACATAAGTAGAAATAAGTTGTAGTGATACATAATCAAAATGAAAAAAGGGAAAAACAATACTTAATTATCTCGGGACACCGTTGGGGAGAACCGGAGTGTAAAAAAAAAAATTGTGATACATAATCAAAATGAAAAAAGGGGAATGTTGGGGGAAAAATAATTACGACTTTTGAGCTGCACATGGTTGTTGATCGACGTGGTGTTGGCTCCGCCCGCCTCGGGCCCGTAGTGGTTGGCTTAGCCCATCACTTTGGCTGGTGACCGGGTTGACAACGTAGAAAAAAAACAAAATACACCAGGACCCAACGTGGTATTGTGTGCGGGGCCTCGGCTCACGAGGTATCCGGCAGACAGTCGGTAGCTCTGGACGAAAGTGTGGATGGAGACGTCTGCTGTTGTAGCCGTTGAAAAAGAAAATGTCAAGCGAACGACAGCGGCGGTGTGCCGTAGGCCGTCGACGGAACTTGATGCTTCATTTGTGTAGTGGGGCAGCTCAGTGTCGTACTTTTGCGGGATTATTACAATTAGGTATATCGTGGGAGTACAGTATTACCTGCGGGCTGTACAGGCGGACGCGACGAAAGCGCTGGAGGCGACGGGCGGCGGGCAACCACGGCACGTCGACGACGAACTGATGAAGGGGGAAACGGGGAACATTTATTGCATAACACTGCGGTCATTGGTGCATTAGCGCGCGATATCTACGTTTTATTACTAATGGTTATAGGAATAAAGGTGCGTTGACTTGTCAACAACGTTAGCAATAGGTGTGTTCGGGGATTGTTATTATGATTCATAAGGTTAAAAATTCCGTGACGTTACAAAAATAATAGCAGAAAAAAGGATTTTAAGAATGGTTAAATTTAATTCTGTTTAACAGTACTTGTTACTGTGTTTTATTAATATCAGTTGTTTTTTTCATATTTATAAACTTTTAACTTTTAGTCAATAATATTGTAACGAGACAGACCGCTAGAGGCCTCTAGTCATATCTAGTGTCGCTCGTTAACTTCCTATCACGCGCTCTCGCGCACTATACTCCTACGATAACCTACAAAATAACGCACTTATTCAACATAGAGCGCGTTGGGGGAGTATTTGCGCAACAGAAGGACGCCGCCCTCCCGGAAAATAAAAGATTACGGAAAAACTATAAGAGATAAAACAAAACGGTTTGTAGATTCAGAATCTTCGGATTCTGAACTATAAATTCGTATCATTTTATTACATTAAAGTGCCACCGGAAAATTCACAATCAAAAGAAGTTCAACTCCATATTCTCCACCAATATCGAAGTCCAAGATATACATAAATATAGGCCGGCCACTACGGTAAAATCACCTTCGTCCCCGCTGAGAACGATTCATCGTGAGTCGGGTGGTAGTTACCTACCGTTAGACATGGACACGATAATCAAACGATTAACAGCAATTTCCCTGGAGTCTGTACTAGCCTGACGGTTTTTATATACCGTTAGACATGGAAGTGCCACAGACTCCTCACCCAGCGACCAAGCGCTTCAATTAAGAAGCGCCGCTCGTATTCCCGTAGCCCAGTGTGCCATTTCCACGGCAACATTACCAGTTCATCGGAGAGACGATACCAAAGAAGAAAAACGTCAAGGACTACGGATCACAGACAAGGCAGCCAGCTCAAACGCGGCAACACCCGGCCACAGTCTTGGCAGACAAGGAAGCAGCTCAAACGCGGCAACACTTGACAATAGTCTTGGCAGACAGCAGGCTTCTACCGTCTATAATACATAATTGTGAGTAGAATTTGTGTACAAATTCCCACCCGCTTTACATGTGCCCCGTATTAAATTGTTTTAATGTACACTCGTGCGGAGTATAAGTTTGTTCTATAAAGAACTCTAATTTGTAAATAATGAAACTTTTGTTGAAACGAGTATTAAATAAAGAAGCCTAACCGTACAGCAGTGTTCTTCATTACATTGGCGCCCAACTGCAGTGCTCGATCCACGACGACCCCGAGATTAAAATTAAAAAACTACATCGCAAAAATGCCAACAAACAAGAAGACAATCAGTGAAGAAGAATTCAGAGAATACCAGCAACTATGGGAAAGAAAGTGTCAAGACTATGCAGATCAAATACAAGAGCACATAGAATCAATTAAAAATGACTATGAAGAAAAAATCAAGAAAGTTGAAGAAAATTTCGAGAAAAAACTTGCAGAAATGGAAAGAAAATATGAAACCCGAAACCAGAGACAACAAACACCAGTGAACCATTTCACGAGGAACGAAAGTTCACATAACACAGAAATCACGCGACCTACATTTTTTGGGAATACTCGAGACATGCACTCAAAAGATTTTCTACAGGTTAGAAGAATATTTTGCAATTAAACAGACTTATATAGGAGAAAATATAATTATTGTAGGAGATTGTCTCAAGTCAACAGCCTATAGTTGGTTTTCAACGATAAGATTTCAACTATGTAACTATGAAGATTTCCGGAAAGCATTTATCGACGAATATTGGTCCAGAGAAATTCAAATCCAAGTATGGAACCAATGTCTAAATGTAAACAGTATAGCACCAAACACCAATTACAGAGAACACTTTGCAACATGGACTACCAAGCTAAGACACTTAAAGGTACCAAAATTATCGGAACAAGAGATTGTCAAACACATTGCTAAGCATTACCCTGGTTATCTAAGGGCCATACTTGTATCGTTGCCAGAAAGGACAATATTAGCTGCCATGAAAGTGTTAGGAGAAGAAGAGCACGCAAAAGGAAAAACAGAAGCATCAGCCGTAGAAAACAACAATAACAACCAACGAAAAAACACAAACAACTGGGGAAACCAAAGAAGCAGTGGATGGAGCAGTATGCCACCACGCAATAACAGATGGAATAATCAGTCGCAACGAAACAATGAAACTAATTATAGAAATACACAACAGGCTGATCAACGACAAACAGAACAAATCAACCAAATATCAACCAGAATAGAGGGACAAGGAGAAACAAGTGAAGAAAGACATGTAATTAATTCGTTGAACACCACCTATAAATCGGCAAGCCCATATGTTCAATACTCGATCGAAGGAGAAGAGATTACACTACTGATTGACACAGGAGCAACAATCAGTGTACTCACGAAAGAAGTAATCGATATAATTACTCAAA